GGCAGTTTTACTGCCCTGACAAGACTGAAGTCCTTGTATCTGGATGCCAACCAGCTGTTGGAAATACCCCGGGGTCTTCCCATTAATTTAAGTCTGCTGAGCCTGGAAGCGAACAGCATCTTTTCTATCCAAAGAGCTAACTTGTCCGAGCTAGGAAACATAGAAGTGTTGTATCTGGGACAGAACTGTTACTACCGTAATCCATGCAACGTTTCATTTGAAATTGAAAAAACAGCCTTTCTGGAGCTGAAGAAATTAACAATACTTTCCTTGAAGTCCAACAACTTGACTCATATTCCAGCCCATTTGCCATCGACTTTAAAGGAACTGTATATTTACAATAACATGATTCAAGTGATTCAAGAACAGGATTTAAGTGCCCTGCACAACCTAGAAATTCTTGATCTAAGCGGCAATTGCCCACGTTGCTATAATGCCCCATATCCTTGTCTACCCTGCCCCAGGAGCACAATTGAGATTCATCCAGAGGCTTTTTATTCCTTGAAAAGTTTAAGAATTTTGAGACTCCACAGCAACTCTCTTCAGAGCGTACCCAGCAGCTGGTTTCAAAACATGAAGAATCTCAAAGAGCTTGACCTCTCCCAAAATTTCCTCCTAAGGGAGATAGGAGATGCTCAGTTTTTGCGGTATATCCCTAGCCTTGTTGAGCTTGATCTGTCCTTTAATTTTGAACTGAAGATGTATTCTCCATTCTTGAATCTGTCTAAGACATTTTCCTCCCTCTCTAACCTGGAAACCCTCAGGCTCAGGGGTTATGTCTTTAAAGAACTGAAAAAAAGTAATCTAGCTCCATTGCTCGGTCTCAGAAATCTAACTGTGGTGGATCTTGGGACTAACTTCATTAAAATAGCTGACTTGAAAGTGTTCAAGGAGTTCCCTGCTCTTAAACTCATAGACCTCTCAGTGAATAAAATTTCTCCTTCTTCAGAGGAAAGCAATTCTTATGGATTTTGCTCTAATCCTCGGATTTCAGTAGAGCAATACAATAGGCAAGTATTACAAGAAATGCATTATTTCAGGTATGACGTATATGGGCGAAGTTGCAGGTCCAAAGACAAAGAGGCTGCTTCCTACCAATCTTCAGTTAAGGAAGAGTGCCTGAGGTACGGAGAAACTCTGGATTTGAGCAGAAACAATATCTTTTTCATTAACCCCTCAGACTTCCAGGGACTTGGTTCCCTCAGATGCCTCAACTTGTCAGGTAATGCAATAAGTCAAACCTTAAACGGAAGTGAATTCTCTTCCTTGTCTGGATTGAAATATCTGGATTTTTCCGACAACAGGATTGACTTGCTCTACTCAACTGCTTTCAAAGAGCTACAACTTCTAGAAGTTCTAGACCTGAGCAACAACAAATATTATTTCTTGGCAGAAGGTGTTAGTCACACGCTGAGTTTTATGAAAAACTTGGCCCACCTGAAGAAGCTGATGATGAATGAGAATGAGATTTCTACCTCTATTAACACAGGAATGGAAAGTCAATCTCTTCAAATTTTAGAATTCAGAGGAAATCGCTTGGATGTTTTATGGATGGATGGCAATGCTAAATACTTGTCATTCTTCAAGAATCTGACCAGCCTGG